ATGCCAAAAGCCAGACCTCATGGCTCTACTTTCTGGCCCACATGCGACAAGTCACGTACTCAATGAAGTAGCTGGAGTTTGGGGTCAACTGACTGCAGGCGGGGTCTCCAAACTCCTAGCCAATCTATACACACACCTGATGTGCAGCTATGGCAACCAGAAATTGGCCACACATCCCTGCTACTCTGATTGGCCAAAGGCCAAGGCTAATCATGATTAGATTGGGGTATAATTGTTTGATCCCTATGGGAGTGAGTCTCTTGTTCTCGAGGCTCTTAGCTCTCTCCCTTCCTCCTCTTGCTGCCTGTTGAATTGCACCTGAAATGCTGTCTCGTGAGAAACAAAGACCTGCTTTGTGACTTGGAGCACAGGAGTGTGCAAAAATGGGATTTCCCTTCAAAATCCCTTGGACTATTCTGGACTCTGAATGTTCCTGAAGTGGTAACTATGTATCTTTACTGTGTAGTTAAGGCAAATCGCCATAGGTTTCTTATTATTTTTATAATCCTCAGTCTGTTGCTGTGCTCTGTACTGAATAAAGATCTGTCTTGTTACTAATTTTCTTTGATGTTGTAACTTGATTTCCAAGTCTGAGTCTTGTGCCTAAATGCTCACCATATATGCTACCATTGGAGAGTAAAAGTGTGCATCTCTGGAGTGAGTTGCTAAGGTGTTCTGTCCCAGATGCCAACTAAGGGTTTGGAATCTCTTCCCTTAGGAAAAGCAGGGACTAGTGAAAAGAGGTTCTGGTGGAAAATTGTTCTGAAAACCAGAGAGGGTATAGACCATCTCGTGGCTTGTTGTTTAATGTATTGAAAAGTACAGGATTCCCTCCCATCCATGGTCTGGCCTGGCCGGGCTAATCCTGTACAAGAATGGCAATTTACCATACAATCCAGCTAGACAAGGTGACTGCCACTTAACTGTGCCAGTACAGAGCCAGTCACACAGAAGTGTGGATTCAGCGGAAGCCACGTTGCCATTGTATTTAAAGATGGGCTCAGTAATTGCTTGTCATGGCAACACAGCCTGGGACACTACGAGAGAGAGAGAGAGACTTACATCTGAGGTTGCATTTCTCAGTGAGGGAGATCCTCAGGTAGTTGTGCTGGCGACCAAACTGGTCAGTCAAGAAAGCAGAGAAAGGGGCTGCATGTTCACTTAGGAATCCTTTTCTTTTTGTAATCTCCTGTATTTAAGACAAAGTTATGTTCACCTTTAAGATTAGATCATTTAGCAAAATTGTTCAATTCATAATCTTGTTCTCATAAAGAAAGCAATCATAAACCTAGGCTGTTTCATTTGCTTACCCTCCCCTGGCATTTTAAGTGCCAAGCCACTTCCTTGCCACAGTACAAACTATAACCTCAAAGATAATTCTGTGAAGTACAACTTGATGAGTAAGTAGCACAATGCAGCTTCTAGAGGAACACTCTTGCAAAGGTTTGCTGTCTTATAAGGAATTATATGAAATGTCACCCCCCTCAGTACGAATGCTAAACTCTAGAGCAGTATTAATATCCTGAACAAGCTTGTAGCCAACTCCTGCTATCCTTCCTAAGTGGGACCATCCCAAAACACACACGTGAAACAGCTAAACATGCAACAGAGGACATAATCTTATAACATTCTATAATGTAATAATGGCATTTATCACATGACTGTCACATGCATTTTCCCATATAATTGCATGACTAGAAACTAGCTGATGCCTTTGCACTGGGGATGGGCACGAACTGAACCACAAATCATGAATTTTGCCTTGTTAGTGGTTTGCAAACTGAAGTCTGTAATGGGTCTACCATCACAAACTTCCATGAACTTTTAAAGCAGTTCATAGTGATTTGTTGATAGAGCAAAAAGCAGGGGTTCAGAGCAATGCTCCCTCTAAGCTGTGGAGTCTTGTGAGCAAAAATCCGACTTGGTGAGCTACTGGCATTAAAGTTGTGAGCGACCTATTTGGCTGCTGCATAAATTAGCTTGCTCTGGAGTCATCCTTCCTGAGCCAAGATAAAAATGTCTGAGCCGGAGGCTAGAAAACTGTGAGCTAGCTCACACTAACTCAGCTTAGAGGGAACACTGGTTCAGAGTCCTTCTGAGTCCCTCTAAACCCCTGCATTCTGTTCCCTGTGAAAGCTGCAAAAACAGCTGAGCAGCGGGGAGGCACTTCCTGCCACTCAGCTGTTATTTGGGACTGCACAAGACAGCCAGAAACAGCAGAGCAGCAGGGAGCAAACTCTAAAGATACACTTTAGAATATCAAGCAGAGACACTCTAAGGAGCAATACCTAAGATAGTGGATACCTAGGATCTTGTGGATGCAAAACATGTACACTACTGTTAAGTTGTGCCGTGCTCAGGATATGCTACACCTTGAAATTTTACTTTGAAGTAATTTGAGGAAGTCATAGGAAGCGTTTCTGTTGTGTACCCAGGGAAGCCTGCGCACGCGGTTGAGTCCACACGTGGTCAGGCGAAGGGCCCGAGCTTTGTCTCCTAGACAATAGCTAGAACTGATCCTAGCACACACCTATCGGGAGGCTAGGATCCTAGAAGGGACCTATGGGTCTGGGGGTGCACTGTAAATACCCTATCACGAGTGTGTGTGTGTGTGTGAGTGAGTGGGTGTGGTGTGATTTGGGAATATAAGCCTGCCTGCAAGCCATCTAAATCATCTAAAGATCTTAATGTAACTAAATAAAGTATGACCTGTAATCACTCTCCAACGCACCAGTCTCAGTATTTTATAGTTTCTATCGAGATTTGGATTCCAACACCCACTTATCCATTCAACTTAATTAGGGTCTAAAGATCCTTCACAGGTAGTTGTAACTTCAAAAAACTTTCAGTTAATGACCTCAAGAGCTTCACCTGTAAGGAGTGCCTTGCTTTTGAATCTGATCAAGAATCTGAAAAGTGTGCAAACAAAAAACAAAGGTAATTTCTGCCCCCTGCATTTTCCTGAAGCATGTGTTAATCAGAATTATACTTCTTCCTAACAAAGAAATGTCATTCAGCTAATAGTTGTTAGTAGAACAAACCCCATTAGTTTGTCTAATCCTTTTCAAAACCCATTAAAGCTAATGAGGGCCTACTGGGACAGATGCTAGGATACACATAAACAAATAACACATATATTGTATGGCTATGAATTCCACAAAGTAATTATGAGCTGGATAACATGTCTGTTTCTTTAACTATTTTGTATTAGTTACGCTGAAGAAGCAATATATTGTGTAAAAAAATCCAAGGGAAGAATAAGTGAGGTTATTTACTCAAGGAAAGGCATACATAATTCTTTTCTGTCTCTGAAAGTTTTTCATATGCCATCCTCTTTCAAATCATTTGCATTAGGAACCTATTACAATAAAAGTTTGGTTATCTGATACTTATGGGGACTGGGAGTTGCCAGTTAATCAAATGTGTCTACATACTCAAGCTTATTGCTCTGTTCCACCCCCTACCCAGAAGACTATGAAGCAGCCAAAGCCACCCCCCATTGGGAATGCCATCGCAAAATCCTTCCCCCTAAGCCCACAGAGTGGATAAACAGGTTGGGCCATTTAGGAAACCTTCAGAAGAGCTGGCTTTTGACAGCTCAAGACAGACTGAACAGAAAGGAGGCACCCGAGGATGGTATCAGGAGGCAGTGGCGGCCGTCAGAAGCCTAGCAATGGCTGGGGGCATGAAACTAACTAGCTGGAGAGGCTGGAATGAGGTGCGTACACAGTGGTATGGTAGCTCAGTGGGAAGAGCTTGCCTTCTGGGTGATGCTGGTGAACTGAAGGCTTTTATCAGCATGCTCAACTTGCTCCTGATTTTCTTGGCAGTTGATTCACAAGCACTGGGATCAGTTTGGGGACAGTTCTTCTATGCATCTGCCCTCCAGTTGCCCAACTGCATTTTCACAGTTATGCAGGCGGTCTCCCCCCCCCCTCAATGCCTTAAATAATCAGGATTTTCAAGAGAGGGAGCTGTCATAACTGGTTGCATCATAGCAAAAAAACCCAACCCTTTATTTTTAATGCATATGTATATTGATATAGCATTGTAATGATAAGTTCAATACGTTCTCTGAATCCCCAGCTTCCCCAGCCCCTTTGTGCTCTGAACAAATACCAACACACATGAAACTGAATCAGACCACTGGTCCATCAAGGTCAGTATTGTCTACTCAGATTAGCAGCGACTCTCCAGGGTCTCAGGCAGAGGTCTTTCACATCACCAGCTGGTCCTTTTAACTAGAGATGTTGGGTATTGGATCTGGGACCTTCTGCATGCCAAGCAGATGCTCTACCACTGAGCCACAGCCCCTCTCCCTTCAGTGCACTCCTTTTAAAAATGTTGTTCACTGGATTAGGAAAGCATTACAGGGAGTCTTACTAGCATCAGTTCAGCTGCTTTAATTTCCAAGGAGATCCTGATAATAAGCTTTTCCTAATTTTAGACTTAGATAATTTTATATTTGCATTTGACTGCAGAGTCAGTATGACAACAACAGCTGTAGGTATCCTTATCAAAGTAGGGGCTGTTCTGTCATCAGCAGTAATTCAACACTGAGTAATTTAAGGAAACACTGAGCCAGATCCCACGGTTTGCAGACAAAAGGACTGTGGATCTTTCTCAAGCTTCCCTCTACCCAGCAGTCCTTTCCAACCACAGAAAAGTTTATTCCCAGAGTTATGGCACTCAAGTAATCACACAGGTTCAGAGGCAGCAGGGACAACATGGTGAAATTCCCCTCTCCTCTCTCTTCCACTGAGGTGGTGATTTCATCTCTTTCCCCTCCCAACTAAAGTCTCCTAAACTCACATGGCTATTAGACTCCGGGAGTAAAGTTTACCAGGGTTAGAGAGGACCAACAGGGGAAGGGAATGGTTTGTGAATGATGGTGCCTTCTACTGACAGCTCACATGAGCCAATCCATTGTAGTGCAGGCAGATATTTCACTTGTTCAGAACCCGTCAGATAAATCAGCAAAGAAAATGGAAAGTGATTCGTTTCAGTGGACTCTGAAGAGCAGACAGGCTTAGCTTCATCACTGCTTGTTCCAGGTTACACTTGTGCTGCTGCCTATCGTATTCGTATGCAGCAAAGGCATTCCAATTTCATGTTCCTCTCAGCATACACTCAGAATACCTATTGAGAGATGGCTTTAAATTCACAGGCATCATTCTCCTAACATAAGGATATTATGAAGGACAAATCTATCAGGCTTGATTGTATTCTGCAGCAAAATTCTTTCAGTGGGATGATTCTACCAAGGATGGAAGAAAGATTTATCATCACTTGTTCTGAATTGAAGGATACACTCATGCAATCCTTAGTTCGTGTCTGTCTGTCCTGTTTGGGTCTGCACTCAGAAGATTATTATTATTTATCATAGGGCAGAGTTACACACAGGAAACATATAATTATATAAAATATGTAACCAAAGTTGATACAACAGGTATGCAGACCGACTGGGCAATCCCCTAAATACAAAAAATCTAAATTTTCAATCCACTCCATTGTAGTTTGCTTATGCCAATGGCATGGAGATTGCAGTAAGGCACATATCAGTTCATAGAACTGAGGAAATACTGACTAGGGACTTCAACATTTTGGCTGACTACTACCGTAAATGGTGGCTTATCCCAAGTCCAGAAAAAAACAGAAGGCTCTTGTTTCCATTTCAATAGCAATCCTGCCAACTGTGAACTGAATATGTTATGGCACCTGACTTACATCCATACAGCTAAATATCTTGGCCTTACCCTAGACAGGACCTTGAGCTATGAACAGCATCTTACCAATGTAGCAGAGAAAATACACAGACACTCAGAAAAAAATATTTAGCTACACGGTTCTAAAATGCATAGCGCTCTTCTTGTTGTCAGATGTGCTTTTCCCACTTAAAAAAAAACCTATCACAGAACAAGGTGGCAGAAGAGAAAGGCAATGAGGCTACTTCAAGTGTGCAATCTGTGAATTTGCTGCTAGGAGGAGTAAACACGCGGACATCTCTTTTCCCTCACTGTGAAGGTTTATTCACTTTAAATTGCAACGGCCTATTTGTACAGGATAGTCTCTGCAAATTTTTAATCTCGGCTAGCACCTGAAAACATGTTATCATTTGAACTGCTAAGAGCTGTGTCATCCTGACATGGATCGTTTGTAAGATTTATATGAAATTAAACACAAACTGTT